TTTTTTCTTAGGTCAAGAAAGGTTCAGGGAAGGCAGGGAAAATACAGTCCAGGCAGTACAGTACCAGGCAGTCCGAAGACTGTCTCCCAATCCACTCTCTAAACGCTGGGAGGAGTGAGGAAGCAGACAGGCACCCTTTTCACTGGCCAACAGTTAACTGAAAGTTCACATTTTGCACTTTCCCTGCCTCCCACCTGGGTTTTTTTCAGTTTGTAACTCAAATCTAAGTATGTAAGTCAAGTCAATATTTTCCTATGAAAGTGGTTTGTAAGTCAAAATGTTCTTAACTCGGGCCGTTCTTAAGTCAAGACCCCACTGTACTTGCATTTTGCATGCTTTCAAACCGCTAGGTTGGCAGGAGCTGGGACAAGCGACGAGGGCTCACTCAGTCGCGTGGATTCAATCTTACGACTGCAGGTCTTCTGACCTTGCAGCACAGAGGCTTCAGTGGTTTAACCCACAACGCCACCATGTCCCTTACTTGTAAGGAAGAAGAATCCTGCAAATTACAGTTGAAGAAAGACAGAATCTATTTAAGTGTGGCTGAAAAGATGGAGGATAGCAACAGTGGGGCAATCCTATTGGCTGCTTGCATATTTATGCAAATAAACTAATGGAAATAATGGATTTAAATTAAAGGAAATTTTGACTCACCATTAAGGAAAATCTCCTAACATTGAGAGCTGCCTCGCAGTGTGAGGGATTCTCCAACATTGGAAGAGCTTAAGCAAAGTCTGGACACCCACCTGTCAGGGGTGCTTTGGTAGCTCTTTCCTGCTTTGGCAGTGGCTGGATTTGATGATCCCTTCAGTCCTTTCCAGTCCTACTATACTACAATCCTATGAACTCTTCCTTACCATTTCTGCTGTCACTGTACTTCCAACTATGTAAGTTACAGTTTTCCCATCTTCTCTGAGGCCTTTCCTCCGTTTTAATATTCTTGGTGTCAGAGGTCCATGAGCTCTGAAATTAAAATGAACTCTACACTATAATTAGTTTTAGACAAAGTAATATTGTGTTGCTTGTAAAGCAAATTGGATGAATATACACATAGCAGACTATTTGTATCAGATTTAAACAGATACAGACATTTAAGCCTCAACAATTTCTCTATACAAAATGAATATTCCAAAAATGCCTGGCACTACAAACCTTTAAAAAGGCAAAGTGAAAAAAATATGAAGTATTCAGTACAGTATATCTGTTTTTTCGCCAGACAATTTCATTTACAAATGAACAGTGTATGTAGACCATAAAAATGCATATGATGCATCTTAGCTGCTGCTTCTGGAGAAACAAATGTTGAATTTAAACTCTTTAATGATTAAACAATATTTGATTGCCAAAATCTGTCTAAAATATTTTTATAAGACATCCTGAAAGGGGGTTTATATTTTGAAAGAACTAAAAGTAAAACATCCCCAGATCAATATAATTAAGAAGTTAAAATTTTAAAGTCATGCTACAAATTTTTAAAGAAAAAGTTCTTATCCTCCTTATTTAGGCTGTGTTATTTTATATAAATATCATGGAGATCTGAATGATTTTGCTTTTCTATAATAAATTGCTATTTACAGTCCTTATTATGGGCAATAAAGATAGAAATTACTGATAATCATTTCAATGTATTTTCTATTTATATTTAGGTTTTATTTATCAGTATGGTGTTACATGTTGTCTGTGAAAATATTTACAACAGCAGAAAAGTCATATAGTGAAGGCAGGCTTTCAATGGACTACATAATACTTAGTACTAGCAAACTATGGGGGCAGGGAGATCTATCAACTGGAGATGCCACAGATTAAACCTGGAAATACAATTATCTATAGAAACCAAGTATTCTACACCTAGGTTACAGAGACTACCTTTCAAAAATAAAAAATAAAAATAAATCAACAATCCAATAACAAAACTACAAGAATGGTTGACAGCAATGAACCTTTACTAGTGTTATGAAAACAAATTAATGTATATCATTATCCAGAATGTCGGGCTGTCTTAACTCTGATTTCTTAATCAGAAATCTAATTCAATTGGGTTCTTTTTAAGGAGAAAGGTGAGAGAAAAATATTTTAAACAAATAAATAAATTCAACAGATCTACTACTTGGGACTGACAATGTCCCAAATCCTCTTGTGTAAATTACACTTATGGAAAAATGATGATGTTATTGGTGATGGAAATTTTCAGCAATTAAGACTTCACCCATCTCTCCTGGGGCTTTTCTGACTCACAAGTAATCTGTTTCAACATGTGACGGAAGGAGAAAGTATTTAATTAATGAAAATCTCCCTCTGGTAACAACATCTGCCACCAGTGGTAGTTTTCAGCAATCAAAGATTTTTCTCCTTCTGTCCCATGGTTTCCATGAAATAAAATGAATAAAATAGATTACTTCAAGTTCAACAAGCCTGTTAGTTATGTCATCACCCTTACATAGGTGTAACTTACATAAGAGGACATCAGCCAACTGGATTTAACCAATTCATCAATAAATCTTACCAATTTCAAAAGGACTTTTTCGCTGGTAAGTATATATAGAATGGTTATCTTTTCTGAAGACAAAAATGGGTTGAAATTAAATACCACCTCAGGTATTTAAAGAACTGAAGACAAAATGATGCCTACTGCTGATACGGGCAAAAGAAAAATCCAATCTTGCATGACACGTGAAACTCAAACATGAAATGGGAGAAGGATGTATCAAGGGAAACTAAAATAATAAAGCAAGAATTATAATGCTTAACATTGCAATAATTGGTATGAGAGAACTAAAGTGAACTGGAAGAGGACATTTTTAATCTGAAAGTATTTTACTCTGGAAATGACAAATATGGAGAAATAGTGTGAATCTTAATAGTGAGAGGAGACAGAACATGAGCAATTAGAAGATATAATGCAAAGTCTGACCAAGTAATACCATGTTTCCCTGAAAATACAAGACAAGGTCTTATATTAAATTTTGCTCCAAAAAAACACATTAGGGCTTATTTTCTGGGGATGTTTTTTTTTTCATGTACAACAATCTACATTTATTCAAATACAGTCATGTCATCTTCTGGTTGCTGCATAATGCTGCACAATGGTGGAGGGCAGGGATTCACTTAACTAGGGCTTATTTTTAGGATAGGGCTTGTATTACGAGCATCCTGAAAAATCGTACTAGGGCTTATTTTCAGGTTAGGCCTTATTTTCGTGGAAACAGAGTATTAACCAAATTTTATGGAAAGCCTACCTATATAACCATCTTTCACATCTACACTGGAATGGTGGATGCTGAAGAAAAAGAAAGTTCTTATGAAAGCATCCAGAAAGAAACTGATCTCACAAGAGAACAGTACTGTATGTGCTGATAATCACAGGTGACTGGTATGCAGAAGTCAGAAATAAAGCAGAACCAGGCATTGCTGGGGAATCTTATCTACAAGTCAGAAATGAAGCAAGACAGTGATTCATTGAATTCTGTAAAGCCAGCCATTTGTTTATTGGAAATATGTGCATCAGGTAATAAAAATTGTGAGTGTACTCATGGATGTCACCAGATAGCCAATACAGAAATTCAATAGACAACTTCATCCAAAACTACATGGAGAAGCCATATTCCCTTTGCAGAAACATGACCAAGAGTGCTACTGACCATGAACTGGTATATCAAAAAATTAAAGCTGAGGAATACTAGAACATTTATACTGTCAAAATATAATTTAATAGTATTTCTAATGAATTTAAAGTCCCTATAAAGAACAGACTTGCATTAATAAACTCAATTAAACATAAATATGAAGAACTGTAGATTGGAACCAGAAATACTTGCAAGGATGAATGCATAAATACTATTCCTGCACCCCAAAATAAATTTATTTATTTATTTATTTATTTATTTGATTTATATACCACCCATCTGGCAGCCAAGGCCACTCTAAATATTTGCAACAATTGTACTGAAAAAAAAGTGTGTGGGGGGGAGCCGCGTTGAAATTTTTAGAATTGTTAATGACAGGTAAGAAGTAAAATTAAAGGTAACAGAAACAGGGCCAGAATCATAAATGTGTTTTTCCACTAACTGCCATGTACCAATAAAGAGAATTACAATACAATAATTCTCTACAACAATCAATGCAAAAATAGAAGAAAAACAACAGGAACACTCTTTGATGAAATCAAATGATTTTTTTTAACCAAGATAAGGATGCTGAAAGAGCAGCAGGGAGTGTACTATCTAATCAAGATAAAAACAGAAAATTTACTGAAGAATTATACAGGACACACAAACAAGGCTGACAGGTTCCTTTGAGAATCTTGTGACAAAGAACAAGTCTTCAACTCAGGGCCTAATCTTGAATTGTTTAAATTTCCTACTTCATTTTTTGGGGGTGCTGATGGTAAAAAAAACCTAAATAAAATATTGCTAAAGCACCATCTAAATTCATGTGAAAAACTTTATTTCCAATAAACAAATGGCTGGCTTTACAGAATTCAATGAATCACTGTCTTGCTTCATTTCTGACTTGTAGATAAGATTCCCCAGCAATGCCTGGTTCTGCTTTATTTCTGACTTCTGCATACCAGTCATTTGAATTGTTTAAATTTCCTACTTCATTTATACCAATATATATTTATGTACTGTACAGTCACATGGTTTATAAATTGCCAGGAGCGTTCATACAGCTGCTATCTTTTCTTTCAATACATTTGAACTTTGAACAGATGTCATCCCAACAAAATTGATTCATTTTCTATTCCATTTCAGGAGCAAGCTGCTCTAAAACTGATTTTTGGGGGGACTGACGTTAAAAATATCTAAATAATATATTGCTAAAGCACCATCTAAATTTGTGTGAAGAACTTTAGAAAGCATTATTGGAAGATGTTTCATAACAAGGATTTGCTTGGCAGTTTTAGAGTGCGTCTTTTCTCAAAGGACAGTGTGGGATGTTTCTCCATATTGACATGGGAAGGGACAAGTGGAGATGAATCTTACAAGGAAGTGATGCAACAGAAAACTCTTGAGGAAAAGAATACTGATACATCGCTTAACATTTTTAAAAATATATATATTTTTAAAGGGAAAAAGTGCAGTGGCCATATAGTGTCCATGGCACTGAAAACACAAGTGAGTGTGAAGTAAATCGACAACAATGTTCATATATGCCAAACTAATGTGGATAGAAGGGATCAGGGATAGAATCATTTTAAAAGCACATATTTGTAAGGTTGAAAGAAATTCATGAGCTGGCCAAATGAATCAATATTACCCGTGCTTCATGTGAATGGAAATTTATAAAATGATTTAAATAATGATGGAATTGATATAATTGCAGTTCTTATGGTGCATGTGATTATACCCTCAGTGGCAATCTACAGTGGACCCACTACTTATGGAGTTAATCCGTATTGGAACGGTGGCTGCAGGTCGAAAAGTCTGTAGGTCGAGTCTCCATTGACCTACAATGCATTGAAAACCGATTAATCCGTAACCGACCGTTTTTGTTCTGTTTTTGTTCCATTTTGGTTTTTTTCTGGTCTGTAGGTCGATTCTCTGGCTGCAAGTCGAACCTAAATTTTGCAGCCAGAGAAGTCTGTAACTCGAAATGTCTATAAGCCGAAAAGTCTGTAAATCGGTCCACTGTAATGCCTTACTAACAGAAATGTACAGGTCAGTGGTGCAATTATCACTTGTAGTTTCTGTAATTAGGTATGATGTAAAAAAACTGTTGGAGGAAAAAAAACTGAGGAGGAATAAAAGGACATTACCTTAGGCGTAAATCTTCCCATATTTTTAACAGTCCACAGAGCATTATTAGTTCATAGTATTTTTTCCAACATTCAACAGCTTCTTCTGCTGTGGGCTGTTCCTTAATAGTACTCTGGTAATGAATCAGTTCCAAATGCATGCTCTTGTATTTATCCAGATTTCGTTTAAAACGATGAGCAACTGGAGCAGGAATAATCCCATTCTGAATATCGCACCAACTATAAAGAATGAGAAAAGTTAGAATGACTCCTTTTGAGCCTTTACACAAGAAAAATGAGGCCTACTTTTCATGATGAAGATGAAGCAGTAAGTAGGCTATTCTAAGTAAGAATTCTGGCACCCATAGCAAAAACCCATAGCAAAAATCCCCTTCATGGACTGCTGCCTTGTGGTGAAGGGGCTTGAGTAATTCAGAGAAGCTATGGGCTATGCCGTACAGGGACACCCAAGACGGACAGGTCATGGTGGAGAGTTCTGACTAAGTGCAATCCACCTGGAGCAGGAACAGGCAAGCCACTCTAGTATCTTTACCAAGTCTCCACCAGCACCACAATTCAAAGCATCAATTCTTTGGCACTCAGCCTTCTTTATGATCCAGCTCTCACTTCCATATATCGCTACTGGAAAAACCATAGCTTTGACTACGCTGACCTCTGTCAGTGAGGTGATGTCTCTGCTTTTTAAGATGCTGTTGAGGTTTGTCATTGCTTTCCTCCCAAGAAGCAGGAGTCTTTTAATTTCGTGGCTGCTGTCACCATCTGCAGTGATCATGGAGCCCAAGAAAGTGAAATCTGTCACTGCCTCCATATCTTCCCCTTCTATTTGCCAGGAGGTGATGGGACCAGTGGCCATGATCTTAGTTTTTTTGATGTTGAGCTTCAGACCATTTTTGGCGCTCTCCTCTTCCACCCTCATAAAGAGGTTCTTTAATTCCTCCTCACTTTCTGCCATCAGAGTGGTATCATCTGCATATTGGAGGTTGTTGATATTTCTTCCGGCAATCTTAATTCCGTTTTGAGATTCCTCCAGTCCTGCCTTTCGCATGATGTCTTCTGCATATAAGTTAAATAAGCCGGGGGACAATATACAGCCTTGTCATACTCCTTTCCCAAATTTGAACCAATCAGTTGTTCCATATTCAGTTCTAACTCGTGCTTCCTGTTCCACATATAGATTTCTCAGGAGATAGATAATGTGGTCAGGTACTCCCATTTCTTTAAGAACTTGACATAGTTTGCTGTGGTCCACTCAATCAAAGGCTTTTGCATACTCAATGAAGCAGAAGTAGATGTTTTTCTGGAACTCTCTAGCTTTCTCCATAATCCAGCGCATGTTAACAATTTGGTCTCCAGTTCCTCTGCCCCTTCAAACTCCAGCTTGTACTTCTGGGAGTTCTCGGTACAAATACTGCTGAAGCCTACCTTGTAGGATTTTAAGCATAACCTTGCTAGCGTGTGAAATAAGTGCAATTGTACGGTAGTTGGAGCATTCTGACACTGTCCTTCTTTGGAATTGGGATATAGACTGATTTTTTTTCCAATCCTCTGGCCACTGCTGAGTTTTCCAAACTTGCTGGCATATTGAGTGCAACACCTTAACAGCATCATCTTTTAAGATTTTAAATAGTTCCACTAGAATGCCATCACCTCCACTGGCCTTGTTGTTAGCCATGCTCTCCAAGGCCCACTTGCCTTTGCTCTTCAGTATGTCTTGCTCAAGGTCAGCAGTATCTGGGTTTTCTGGGACATCCAGATCTTTCTGGTATAATTCCTCTGTGTATTCTTGCCACCTCTTCTTGATGTCTTCTGCTTTCATGAGGTCCCTACCATTTTTGTCCTTTATCATGCCCATCTTTGCACAAAAGGATGGGCTGCCTTACATTACGAATTAATGTCGTAATGCAAGGCACCACTGTATTGCTCATCTGGTGATGTCCATGTGAGTCGCCTCTTGTGTTGCTGGAAAAGA